TAAGACACGCAACTGTTGGTTTTATATCTGCAGCGGCAAGAACACTTAATTTGGTGGACGTTCAATGCAAAGTTCAAACGATGATTCAGCCGTACTTAAAGCATCCATTAATCCAAATAGAAAAAGAGATTTTATTGTTAGAAGCTTTGGTACCCCCAATACCAAGAATTGTTTATGATTCTATTGTAAAATATAACGATATACAAGAACTGTTTCAAGTGTTAGAACAAAGACAGATGGCTCGAGCTAAAGCTATATCCGGGATAGTACCACAATATAGCGAAATGAGCACTTCGTTACGAAACGTAAGTTATAAGTTCCTTTGCAAACATGTTCTACAAATTTCGAAAGAAGTAAACAAAACGATTTTAGCTTTTTAGACGATTAAGTTCGGAGTCGATGACGGAAATTGTGGAAGACCAGTTACTAATAATGCAACCACATTTAATGAAAATTAATAAATATCGCAGTTCGATAGATGCGAAACAAAACACCGTTAAATCCATAGATGGAAAATTGGAATTAAGTTCTATGAAAGATAGGATACGACATCACATAGTGATATTATATCCCGACACAAAAGTTGATTTAGGCCTTCCGCCATTTAAACGGTTAGATAACAGGACATCAGATAGTATCGGCACATACGCTACAATGAATCAAGAATGGCGTACGATGTTTGCAGCTCAGGACAATGTTCAACATCCTGTTAAAATGACAGATATGACAGGAAGTAGTGGAAGTCCTAGCCAAAGTTTACATGGAGGAGATATACATTTATCGCCTCAACACAGTCTGTCCGATATGAACAGTATAAATGATCACTCCCTTCACGAACGTTCATATATCCAATACAGATGTGCACCTTGTAGATTGGAAGTAAGACAACTGACATACAGAAAGCAAGAACAGCATGCTGCAGCATTGAGAGCACAACATTGGGCTGATAACATTGCATGGCAAACTGGTTCGAGATTACTACCGAGTGGATGGAGACCTCGAGGAATACCGGTTGCGCATCTTCACGAGCACAGAGCTGCTATAAATAGGCTAGTTTCTATACCAGATACCAGTTTATTTGCTAGTAGTTCTGCAGACGGGTGTATTAAGATATGGGATGCCAGTAAAATGGAAGGTCGAAACATAGCTAATCGATCTAGGCAAACTTACATGCACAGAGGTGGCCCTCTAATTGGTTTGGCTATATGCGATCAAGGAAAATCGTTGGCAAGTTCTGCTAGCCAATCGGGTACAGTGTTTGTTTTACGAATTGAATCAAATTCTAGTAAAATGAGTGTCATTGGAACTAGACAATTAGATCTTCAGGAAGAAGGGTGTGCCGTTGACCTGCAATATTTAGATTCTGGGTCACAATCGGTTCTGGTATACGCTTCGCTGTACGGATCGTTGGTAGGTTGGGACTTACGATGCCCTGGAACAACGTGGCGTTTAGAAAACGATCTAAAGTATGGAGTAATTACCTCGTTTTGCGTAAATAATTATCAGCAATGGTTGACTCTCGGTACAAGTTCAGGCGTGCATACATGTTGGGATTTACGATTTCAATTGCCAATAACCAGTATTAAACATCCTACAGGCGCGAGAGTGAGAAAGGTGATCACTCATCCAACGGAACATTCGTGGATCATTTCAGCGGTACAGGGTAACAATGAAATCTCAATGTGGAACCTTGAAACTGATTTTCGACAAATGGTTCTTTGGGCATCGAGTGCACCACCGCTCAGTTATTCTCAAAGTGGTCACAGCGTGTGTGCGATGTACTCTGGGTGTATCGATCGTTCAGGTTTTCTGCTGGCTGGCGGTACCGATATGCGATTACGCTTTTGGGATTTGAATACTCCTAACGAATCGTACGTCGCATTGCCCGCAGCTAATGATGTCACCTCACCAAATTCATTAGGATACGAACAACGTTTAATAGATGGAACAAACGTGGTACAAGAGGTATTGGCTGGCGGTGGTCCCACCTTGTCATCGGGAGGAAGTACAAGTGTTCGTACAAGAAATTCCGAGGAAGGTGGCCAGGGTCCTGAGACACCACCATCTGGACACCACGATACAATCTCAGCTGTAGCAATGTCGAACACGTGTATTCTCACCGGCAGCACAGACGGGTTAATACAAGTTTGGAAATGAACGTTCGTTTCTTTCCTTGTATCGTATTCTAACGTCATAGAGACCGTAACAATTTTTCTAACGCGTCTCAGACATCAATCCCGTGGAAAATAAAATCGATTGGACATCGAAGTTTTTGTACGTACAAGCGAACTCGCTACAGTAATTCTGTGATTTTTAGTTGTACATAATATGTAATATATACATATACGGTATTTATTAAGATCATCGATAGTCATAGTAATAACGATAACACGCATTTCTGGAAACGGAGAGTAACGCTCAAGTTACTTTGATACAGTGAACCTTGTGTAATATAAATGATTTATTTTTCTACTTAAAGAAAATCTTGAAGAAAGAATTTGCTGTACTGTGTAACATACGAAGATGGTAAATTAGATTTAGATTTAGTACAGTACTAATCACTAGGAAAGTAATACAAACAGTGTACAAATGAATTTTGCCCTTGCGTATGTACTTTATAACGGCAGGTGTATATACTACGTACATACTTTTACGTCGTACAATAGTTAACTCGTATAACGACTGAAATACTCGTAAGTAAATGTATATCTTCGTACTCCCTCATGATTACAATAAATTCATATTTTTAACGCGTATTGACCGTCCCATTATTTAAACGAATCGTAGGGGGTCTGTCCATTACCAAGGACAGACTGGGGCAGCAGGATAAGGGACTCGACCTGGGGATGCGTAAGGATCAGGATTTATCGTTCTACAGATTTCCTTCCACCTTTCTCTTCCTCCTTTTCCTTGTCGTCGTCTCAATTGTTTACTTTTATCATTTGGTGTTGGATAATTGTAAGGAGGCTGTCCACCGAAAAGAATTTCGAGCCACGGTGCTGCGAGTACAGTGGTGAACAAGAATAAAAATGCGAACATAATTTTCATCTTGAGGGCACTTGCCTTTTCTCGGTAAGTTTACGATTTAAAAATCCATGGATACCTGGAGAAGAAATTGTATCGTGAACGTACGAATAACTTAAGAACACGAACTTCAAAATTGAAAAGCTAGACTACGAACTGTTGCAACATATATTTGACAATCTCGTAATTATTACTTTCAAACTTCACACTTTCTGAACAAAGAAATCAACGACACTTGTTCATTCGGTTCGCTGACACTGTTCGATGACGAATTATAATTATTCTAAACCGGCCGATTATTTCTTTTTACGCGGATATTCGCGACGATTGCTACTTGTACAGTCTTTTTTCGACTTTTAATAGAAGTTTGAGTTGTAGTCGCGGTCACGAGTACACTCTCTCAATGAAGTGATGCTGGATGCTTACTGCTGTTTTATACACCAAGACCAAGCTGCCCTACCGCTTCGAAAAAATGCGTCGGTCGAAGATGCGAATGTCTCATTGTCAGTTCCATTGTTCGGTATTTGTTGACAATGCGAACAGAAGAAATACGCTCAAGATATTATTTATTAATAACATATTTCTTGCGTAGGGTAACCCTTTGCGAATTTACAAATTATTAATAATGTAGTTTACCTTACAATTTATTTTCTACCGTTCAGTTCTGTTTAATTGAGAAGAGAGCGTTTCTTTCGCGCTGCACTCGGAGAGGGCTTTATCTGCTTATATTATCCGATGCGGATCAATGCGTGATTTTTATTCGCAAAGCGTACACCTTTTTCGTATTCCGTACGTGCATCGATTCCATCTCAAGAAAACACACGATCGCATAAGGGAGACTGATTTAATTATGACTACTTTATTACCTGGTTCGTCGGTGCGTAGAAACTGCATTTCCGTTTTTCCCCGAATCACGATCAGAGGAGAATCGTTAAATAAACTCAACGAATTGCGTACTTGACTTATTTCTTTGGTATCTTGTTATCGTTTATCCTCACTTCATCGCTGTCCTCTTCCCAAATCTTATTGTAATTGATCGTCGAGCGTATTTTGGAAATTCAGAAACAAATGACATGTCGCAGTTAGCGTATTAAAATATAAATCATTCTATAAACGAAACATGAAATTATACGAGTTCATTCATTGAAACGCGATTCAATTTTTGTAACTCTTCGCGTGATAACGAATTTGTACTAATTAAGAACTGCCCTACTTCGTACGGATTTCGTGTCAAGGTTGCCGTTTGCATTATCTGTATCTGTAAAAACGTGTCGATTGTCACTTTTTGTTGTTGTGTATAGTAATAATATTGCGATACGTAACATTAATTTTTTATAGAAACCGTTGTTACGCGTAACAGCTCTCGTTAAACTTGTCTCTCTGTCGGAAGAGAAGAAAATTACGAAGATCGCATAGATATTATACAGGTAGAAACAAGTCACGAGAAGCTAGAGAGATATTTCTTCCTCTTGCCATGCGGGAGTTGAAATAGGTAAAGATGAATTCGGACAAGGTGTGAGAACCCGCGATACTTTCAGCGTGGATAAACAATGATCGAGAAGTGTTCTGCAAATAGCAACGGGTCTGGTCTGGTTACGTGCAATCGTACTAATCGCTCTTATTAAGGTTGCACCCCGACTAACTATAAGTAAGCCGTTACTATTTCCCATTACCGCAATAGCTGCTTGGTTTCCAGGCTGTTGAACTATTAATAGCATTTCGCAGAGAAAGTCTGCACCGGCATTTTGCGCGAAAGGGGTTTGCGATCCTCGAATGATTTTCTCGTGTATCAGCAGCAAGCACGCTGCGCTGGTCCGGTTTAGCTCGGCGGACTGATTTTCAAATTTAACAAGTGTCAGAGTCCAGCGCGGATACATTCGGGTCACGGTAAACTGAATTTAATTACGTCAATCGTAATTCGATAACGCGCTCTCGGTGACCTAAGAGGGTAGAACCGTCTCGATTAGACCTCTTTCGTCGTGTTTTCTTTTCAAATAAAAAGATAATGGTAAGAAATCCGAATTACTGGACGACGATGATACTGACAGATGAGATAGAATCTTTGCTTGTTAGTATTCCCCAAGGGACACGTGCACGTAAATACATGAATAAGTAGCTTCTATAATAAGATGTTCGGCCGAAGAATGGGACGCGTCAAATGGTACTTTACACGCACGTGTTCATTCTTAGTAATTAAATTGAAGTTCATTCTTTGTCGCTCAAATCATGACGAAGCAATAACAATTCTACGAAAACGATAACACCTTCTATGCTATTTAACCGTGCTACGTAAACGAAAGTGTAAACGAAAGAGATCGACTTAAGTATTAGTAATACGAAAAGAACGTTAACATAGACAGGTGTTTTCAACATTTTTTAACACGCGAACGAGAGTATAAACGCTTCATTTCCAAATATATTCGACCGTAGCATATGCTTCAAATTTATCGTCTAAACATTTTACATAGGAGTTTCCTTGAAGCTTCTTTTCGATGTCGGTTGCACGCTGCACCATATACCGGCGTCAGTTCCGTTTTACTTCTGATCAAGGAAACTTCTGCATTTCGGTTTTCCAACAAATTTCATTAACCGTTCGAGAATGGCGATACTCGAGTAATATTTGTACAGATTTCTCTTTTCTATTTCTAAATGAACAAAGAGGTAGGTATCTCTTCCAAACTTTTTTTTTTTTACAAACAACTATCTCTGAATTTTAGAAATTTATAACGATTCAAGTTGCGTCGTAATAATGTCCAATTGTCCGTTCAATGTCGACGATAAAGGCAGTGAACCGATCAAAAGTGGAGCAAGCCTCTCGTTAAAGATGCAACGGAGCTTTAAGAAAATGAAGAGAAGCATTCAAAAGATGACTGGTAGGTCGATGATAAAACGTCCGATGATCGTTGTATTTATTATCCGATATCGTTATCGTTCTAATGTCAAACTAAATTACGAGACCCTTCGGTACGATAGCAATACATGTACTTCGTTCTACATTTACCGCTATATCAAAAACTATTCGCAGGTTACTCTGCTAGTATAGCAAAAAAATTATCGTACAAGACGATTTTCAATACTTTTAGAATCTTCGGTGACTGTTCAACCTCACTGCGTTTTCGTAGAGAATATGCAAGACGATGATAGACAACCGCCGTATATATTTCCGAAACGACTCTCCTGTTTAACGTGCCAAACGGGATTCTCAAAGGATGAAATACGAAAACTCTATCGCGCTTTCAAACAGTATTGTCCGAGAGGAGCCGTGACTACGAACGATCTGAAGCCGGCTTACGCAAAATTGTTCCCGTTGGGAGATTCAACCAAGTACACGCAGATCGTTTTCAATACTTTCGACAGGGATAGGGATGGTATTGTCAGCTTCCAAGATCTTCTCACTGAAATAAATTTGATTATTAACGGCGATTTGGATCAAAAGCTCTCCTGGATTTTCAGGTGATCATTCGGAAGCATTGCATTGTTCACGACCGTGTTTAACGTTACTTTCTACTTTTGCTTTTTTTTTTTTTTCATTAGCTTTTACGATCTCAATGGAGACGGTTACATCACGAGAAAGGAAATGCTAGTCATAATATCCGCGATCTACGAGATGCTTTATACCGGTCAAACTGCTCAGCGAATGATCGTCAGGCACGTGGACATGATTTTCAAGAAGATGGATACCGATAAGGATGGAGTCATATCCCGCGAGGAATTTATGAATACTTGCAAAAATGTACAAAAAATTAGACCGCTCGTTGGCGGGTTAATTTCATACTAAATCGTAACCAAGCATTTATTTTAACGTTAACATGAAATAGAGAATTTAATTATTAGTAAAAGTGACTTTCTAATGTATCTAGTAATATAGATCTTAATACGATATATTCTTCTATTTCAGGATTCTGTAATTGAGAATCAACTGGCAGTCTTTAATCAGTTTTGGTGATGAAATATACGATCGACGTTAACGTTTATAAATTGCATTATTTCTGAAAAATCTAAACCTGCTATTCCTCCACTTTGCAAACGCTCTCATTTTTATAATGAAATAATAGTTATATAGAACAGTTTTTTTTTTTTTGTAAAAGTCATATAATAAATTAAACTATATACAAGATTACTCACAATTTAAGAAAATATTTTAATACATTTAAAATAATCGTTTTTGCAAAATGTAGAAGACACAGGCGAGAAAAAATGCAAACGCTAGCGCTAATAAAGCTTTATCGGTAACTTCTCTTCTACCGTATTTCCCTAAGAGCTTTCCAGATTGAACTATAACTTGCTGTTGATGTTCCAACTCATCTTTGGTACTAACAACTTTATCCGACGAGGTTACTGAAATATTTAAAAATCGATGAAATCGTTGAAAATCATATTATCATACGAACATTATAAGAAACAAGCTATGTACATAATGTATCCAATGTGTCCGCGCTTCTTTGAGTTGTTTCCGCCAAGTGTCTAGAAATACTTAAGAGTTTATCCGAGACCTGACTCGATGCATTTGCCAGACTCCGTTTATCGTGTCGTCTACGAATAAGAGCTTGCTGTTCTTCAGGCATTGATAGTAGTTCTTCCTTGGCAAGTTTATCTATTACGCACATACTAACAACATTGGCCTTACGAAACGCAGCTAAAGATGTTTTAGATTGTTGCTTATAAGTATCTAATTCTGCTAATAATTCTGCTTTTTTCTTCTCCAAAAGTTCTCTTTCCGCTATTGATGCTAACTTACATATGGATGATTGCAATGCTTCTAGTTTTGCTCTGCCTTCCGCATTTAATTCCATGAGTAATTCTAAAGGACCGGTACATTGTTGTATATCCTAGAAAATAAATATCCTATAATACGTATTACTTTTAGCTAGTGTTAATAATACAACAACCTGTTCAATACTGCACTTTATTCGAGGTTATATTATATCTTTTATAGTTGCGAAAGATTTTTGTTTCTGATAATATTTACCTGTATTAAAGCTGTAAGTCGAAGGTGATTTTTTACAATATCTTGGCGTATTAATTCTAGTTCGTAAACTTCTGTATCCATTGAAGCACGCTTTCTTTTTGACAGTTCGTTTATGTGCTTGTACCGTTGTATGTATGTTAAATGAAATACAACTATAAGATTGTTACGTCGTAACTGAGACAAGAAAGTTATGATTACGAATAACGATAAATTTTTGTTCAAGGTTTTGATAAAAATTTACATATATAGTACGCTTTCAAAAAATACATAAATTCGCGTTATAATTCAATATTTTCGAAAATTATTGAATTTCTACAAAATAAAATCTGGATTTATATAAAGGACTTGTTTTCATAATTAATAACATAAATCATACATTGATAACTGTAATTAAATTTAATTATAGATAAATAAGGTTATGTTTATTAAATGTAACTAAAACGGTGGGAGACAGTATAATTTATTAATGTACAATTCGAGTATTACACTGTTATCATACAACTGGTAAATATCTTAAAATAAATAAATTTTCAGTGGCACGTTTCTATTCACAGAATATAATCGTTTTAAATAAAATTCTATCATAATTTACATTTAAAGCAGATAACCTAAGTACAGTCTATATCGGAGTAATACTGTACAATTTGAAATTATAGTTTAAAACATGTCCGATAACTTGAAAGGAGCACAATGCGTCTATTCTATATCATTCTATGTTACATAAGTTTCTTTGAAGTTTACAGAGACCTCATGATAATAATTATTTAACGAAGACAATTGATTACAGCAGTAGTGAATTCTGTTGTAGAACTCTGACCACCTAAATCTTTCGTCAATACTTTTCCATCGTTTAAGACACGGTTTAGTGCATCTTTGAGTTGTTCGCTATAACGTTTTAAATTAACGTGACGCAATAATTTCACGGCACACAGAAGCATAGCGGTAGGATTTGCAACATTTTTACCAACAGCCTCGGAATATGTGTGTCTTGCACCCTATATTATAAAAGATTTTTTGTTAAGTTCCATATAAATTTGAAATGAATTTTATTATTTTTTCACAGACAATTTGTTAATCTTACCGGCTCAAAGACAACGCACTCCGGACTGTAACTAGCACCTGCAACTACACCTGCACCACCGACTAATCCAGATGCAAGATTATCTAAAATATTACCATATAAATTTGGCAGTACCATTACATCGAATTGGTGTGGATTAGATACCATTTGCATTGTACAATTATCCACAATCATTGTTTCAAAGGTAATTCTGCAATTATAATGGAAAACATAATTACTATTTGCTGATAATAAGTTATGAAGTAACAAAGATCTATAGCTACCTAGGGTACATCTTAGCAATGTCTTGGCACGATTTTAAGAAGAGACCATCGCCAAGTTTCATGATGTTAGCTTTGTGAACGCAAGTGACTTTCTTACGATTATGTTTCACTGCATAATCGAATGCAAATTTTGCGATTCTTTGACTCTTAGCTGCTGTTACTATCTTCAAACATTCTACCACTCCCTTCACAGATTCGTGCTCTAATGCAGAGTATTCTCCTTCTGTTTGTTCTCTGATAATAATACAGTCCACATTCTTATGACGACATTTAATGCCAGGTAAAGATTTTACATGAACAACATTTGAATACAAGTCTAAACTTTTACGCAGTTTCATGTTCAGAGTTTGAAGTTCCCCGGTGTGGGAATGGTCTGGTGTTGCTAAAATGCCCTAATAAGTAATTATTGTCATTTAAAGTTAGAGTTTTAATATTATCATGGACCAAAATTATCATTCAATTATCGAATATGATAATGGTACCTTCAAGCATACTTGGTTTCTTGCGATACTATTGGATACTTGTTCAAGCGGTGCACTCAAAGTGGGGTTTACTTCAGAAAGGAAGTATGGTTCAAATTCAACCGGTACATTTGCTGCTTTGAAAACACTTTGAACTGACACAACTAGTTCTGGTCCGACACCATCTCCTGGTATGAGGGTACATTTTACCTTACCTTCTTGTTCAATTGACTAAAAGAAATAATTATATGCATAAATGACAATTACTTTTGAAGGAAAGTTCAATACATACGGTATCCTGTTGACGTACTGCTCCCACATGTAGTGCCCTAATAGTTCCTTTTTGGGCAGTCTAGAAATTAAAAAATTTGAAGCTATAAAAACATCAAATGCAATAAATTGTTGAGAAAATCTAATTTTTCTTTGAATACGACTGAATCATTCTTATCTAATTAAAAAGTTATATTTATAAACAACAGAGACGACAACGTAACGATTGAATAACAATCAGCGAAGTCATTCGTTTCATCGCTTTCTTTAATTGAATTCCAAAAAAAATGTATACGTTTGTATACGTATGTATACGTTTCGCATTTATAAAATAGAGTATCGATTTATTCTGTCGAATTTTCTTCGATACTAACTAAATAATAGTATACAACTTTGAAAGAAAATTTAGTTCATATGCAATGTCCTTGTGATAATCATTGGCACTTTCTTTGTTCGTACTTGTGTATTATTCAATTAAAGGAATTTCTGCATAAGATTTAACGTTAATTTTAATTAATGGAATATTAAAGATTTGAATAATCGTACACGGAACCTGCATTACCTGCGAAAATATCTTGCAGATGTTTCTCGCGAGTAAAGCCATTTTTCCACGATGGACTCTACTGTCGGTCTCACTCTCGCACTTGCACACCAGTAACGTATCAAATTTGGAAACAATCAGGACACTAGTATAAATTGTATTTCGCTCAAATTATTTTTTCATTCAATTATCTTACTTACAGCAGATACGTTAGCTACAATCTACGTAAAAAATTTAAAACAATGTTCAAGATAATATAATATTTAAATATACTATCGATAAGGTTGATTTAAAACTTTTATTAATAGCACAGACGTTCTCGTAATGTACATGAGTACGGACCTGGCATCATGACGATCGTTTTACTTCGTGTTTCTTCGGTGCACAGCGCTAATTCTAAATACATAGGTATGCGTCGATGACGTATCATCGTTAAAAAGTCCAATGATCAATGTTGCCACCGATTTTAAACAATTCCTCTAGTTTATTCATGCTCTACTCAGCTCTCCCATTTCTTCCTAGTAACGAGTGTACCGTTTAAATTGTACGTCTAATCGAAATATGCCATTTATAGATAGTCTGTTCCACTGCATTCTACTGTGCATGTACACTGTACAGTGGCGTGTAAAAGTTTCTGTCGTTTGTTTTTTTACTTCTTTGAAGGAGAAGTGCGCGCGGCTATTTACAAGTTTATGATATAAGTTATATTTTGAAAATGGGTTATCTAATGAACGAATGCTTGTGGGGAAAAATCTTATGGGGTGTGTTATATTTAATACATAGCGCCTTTAGGCTTCGAGTCTGTACAGGCACGTCAGACGTGTCCGAATTTCCTTTGGTTAGCTGGAAAATCGAGCCAACATATTTCAAATCCATTCAGATCAATTCAGATCGTTTTAAAAGTTGGTGAAATTTCTGTCGTGGTTGAAATATATACATTAATTTAATAAATATATGTATCACAGTCTAGAGGATTTTATTATGACAAGTTTAGCGGCATGGTCTCGCATAGAAATAGAAACAAGTGTAGAGGAAATTGGAGATAAATAAATCATACAATCTATTTTTATAAAATAGAATTTCATGGCCCCTCTTCAGTTTATTACAATTTATAGCTAGCATATTTTGGCTGAAGTAATTTCAATTATTCAGTTAAAATGACGGAGGAATCAATGCGTGAGTAACATAGTTTGACACATTATAAACATTCGTTCGTTGCACGTGTATTTTTCAGCGAAGTTCACACAACAAATTCGATTGAAATGCATATTATTAATAATAGTATAACATGATAAAAAGAATAGTAGTAATAAAACAAATCATGGTACTTTATATGTTTCAGAACAAGAGGTGACTAAGCATAGCTTTCGCCAGAAAGTATAGAATTACTTGGCATTTGAAGCTAAGAAGGAAATATTGATTACAATTCCTTCATGTTGCACCAGTTATTGGTGTCACAAGAAAGAAATTCAGAATCTGGTAGAAAATTGATGGTGTAATGGAAGTTGGTCAACCACTCGGAGTGGAGTCTAATGTAAAGGTATCCATTGCTTGTTCTTATAATAACAATGTCTTATTATTCGTTATGTTTACCTTCATTATTTTATACATTCGTCCGATTTTCTTTCAGATAGATCTCATAGTGTTGACTGATGATAGTTTAGTCAATCGATAAATAATATTTGTGACACAAAAGAATAAGTCAACATCCGGTATATATGTTATTTTTCTTGAGGAATATTTTCACACTAGGTAGATAGGGCTATAAAACCCATTCTATTTTCACGATGTTGTATTTAGAGTTAACATTGATAGTGTTGAAAGATAGGTGTGCAGTTGCAATACTTTTGTGATATTAAAAACGCGATTCATCGTTCTTATAGCATAGAGATAGGTAGTCATTACTTTAATCATCGTTATTGTTGATTTTGTTATTAATGCAACTGTTAGTAAAGTTTGCAAAGCTATCCGAACAGTTCGTTTCTTTGGCGGGTTTAAATTCCTCGAATCGAACGCAACGGTTCACGATTAAAAAAGTAAGTACTTACCTCGGTGAATCCTTAATTTCCAAGAAAATGTGAAGCAACTCAGGAGAGTTTCTGTCTTCGTAGCTCGACGGATAGTGAAATTACATTAGCTTTAATCGAATTCTCGGATAAACTTCTTATCGCAAACGTTTCGTCATTCTTTCGTTCTTCTATCTCGTCCTATTCGTGTTAAGACGGAGACGGATGATGTGGGCGTATCGTTCCGCGCTAGAAAGATATGCCTACATATAGAAATTCAAACGGAAGAACAAGGACTATCTCTAATAGTACGAAAATATTAAAAGTTCGAATCGAATCGAATCGATTGCGGACAGGTACCGAATCGTCGAAGTGTACAAATATGTATTTCGTGATATAACGTTTTCGTATACTTTTCGTGATCGTTTACAAAATTACATCGTTCTTGGTGTTTCTTTACTGTATAATTAAGAGTGCAATCGTTGATTTTGGGTGCGTTAGAATCTAAAATTCTTACGTTTTCGTGTATTTACCATTTCGAAAGCTCGTTTCTTCTTTCGATTAACGAAAGCGAGCAGGGCAGCGTTCCACGTGGCAGAATTTCCTAAAGAGGAAAGTTAAGCGACACGTACAAACTGTCGAGTGATTGCGGGAGTAGCAAGTCGTATAGAAAGTTTGGAGTTTCTTTGGAATCGTACGTTTTCTTCGATATTTCCAGATGAAAGAAGACGTTAGGAAAGAAAGTCGTAGACGTAGATCCAAAGTGCTTTCTAAGAGGATGCTACATTTGGTCGAGATTTTTTTTTTACTTTTTCCTATTTTTTCTTTTTTCATTCTTCTTTTTTTAATAAAAATAAACGAATACGTGATCCCTTACGGAGATAAGAGGGTACGGTAGAGAGATAGGGGTCGGGTAAGAGAGGGGTGTGCGAGTCAATTTTACGATAACTTTCGCTGATGATTGCGAAACAAAAGAATGGTGTCGGATAAAAAAGAAATAGAAGACTCGTTTAGGGCTCTACGACTACCCTATTCCTATTGAAAGCGCAATTATCACATTTGATCGTAAGGTAAGAGTCGCAAGACCGAAAAAGCGAAAAGATCGTCGTTCGGAAGTTTAGAGAACACAGAGAATAACCAACTTTACGCTCGAAAATGAACTTTTCAAATGTTTCTCGGTAGAGTGAGGCTGAGACTGAGGGTATACTATAACGACAATCCCATTACACTCGATGCGCGTACTCTTCGACGCGACCTTCACTTTTCATCGCGGGAAAAATCATTCCGATGGAATTTACGAAGTGGAGGGCTCCGGGCTTGCGTCGATGAAGTCGATGTCGGATGATGTTGCGGTACTCGCGCGTCTGCCTTGCCTCGGGCTCGGGCTCGGGGATGCGTTTACGTGCATCTTGACGTTCGTTGTCGAGACGCTCAGCAGATTTCGTCCCGACTTGTGGTTCGTCCTGTAATCGAGAGATAAAGTTAGAAAGAACACCCGGTAGACTTCCTTCATCGAACGTCTGTTTTTGCGTCGAATAAACGAAGCGCATCGGAGGAATATCGCTTGCTCCTCGTACGGCGGAATTTGACTGTTGTTGCAGTTGGCTGCCGTCCAATGATAACATGGAGAGCGCGATTGAAACTTCCACAGAACGTTTGTAAGTTTTTCGCAAAGGAGAATTTATGGGAGGCTAAATACGTAACGTTGTTCCAGATCGATGGTTCGACCTTATCTTACCGGCGCGTTCGACGAAAAGTTAAAATTCTGATTCTAATTTTAACTTGGTTACGTTTCATTGAAACCTCGTAATTGGAGTAATTACACTCACTTCAGCCTCTCTTCGGCACCCATCATGGCAGTGTTCAGTTCCTCTTCCCACTGTTTCTCCTTCCTCTCTCGTTCCTGTCTTTCCATCTCGCGTTCCCGATTATATACACGGTATTCCGGGATGAATACTTCCGCCAGCCCGACTACATCCTCCGAGGTTTGCTCGATTTTTAGAGATCTACGCGAACGATAAGAGAAACTATGTATAATAAGTGCTCCATTTCCCTCGCCAAGTCTCCTTGTTGAGTAGAGTAGAAACGAGAAACTGTTAATTTCGTTACCTTTGCTTAGCCAGACGTTTTTTTTTCTTGTGCAAGGGCTTCTTCTCGACGATCATCTCCTCGAGCTCGAACGTTGGGTCGCAATTGAGATGATCCTTTGGTGGTGTGAACGCCGGTTTGATTTGCTTGTTCAACACTTTGTCGAAGTCGAGGTCTTTCATCAAGCTTATTTGCTTCAGTTCCTTTAACGTCGATATCCGCGCGCCTGGTGCCACGGTTAACAATCTGTCTAGAAGATCGAGCATCGAGGGACTCCATCCGACAGGTGTTGGCCTCTCTTCCTACAGGATATTTTTTCTTTATTCGAACGGTTCGGAAACTTACTTGTCTTATCGAGGATGTAAAATGATTTTATCGACAATTTTACCTGTAAAATCCGTAAAGCTTCTCTATGCGACGTAGTGGAATGAAGAGAATAAGGACGTTCTCCTGCAAGGGTTTCCCATGCAAGAATTCCTAGACTCCACCAATCCACGGCGAAACCGTAGCCAAGTACACCGTACTCTTCGCAGGAACACATATAAATTTCTGGAGCTGTGTCAGAGAAGTATCGAGAGAAATTAATGTTTGGAAACCTCGGGTTGCAATACTTGCAATGCGTCGAATCTATTTTCTATTTCTTTCGATATAATTTCATTCGCGACACTCTGTATAGTGGCCGTGTTTTATATTGGATTAACCGAAGCAATGACGCAACAATCGTTCAATTAATTCGTTACCTATGTACGGTTTTGTTCCTGACATCGACGTCGCTAATTCACCGTTCTCCAGCACCGTTGCGATGTTGAAATCCGTCACGTGCGCGTGTCCTATGCAGAACAGAATCCTCGTTATGTAAGTTACACGTACACGCGTATTTGTAGGGAACGTTGCGACCCTTCAAGCGCGATTGCAAGCTTTTCGTTTCTTCGAGGGAAAGAATTTGATCGGATCTTGCGTGAAATCGATTAAACGTCAGTTGCCGTCCGGGACCGATTGACAACATCTGTCGAGTGATGTAAAGCGTAAACTCTCCTTTTTAATTTCCAAAGAATTCTGAAAAGCTCGATTCTCGGCTCCCCATTGAGCGGTGAAAGGATTAAGAAAGCGAAGACTTTGCTTTGTGTGGGTCGCGTAGGAAACTTTTTACGAACAAATGAGACGTTTCGTGCGAGATGAAACGCGAGAGCAGTCGCCGGGTGACACCGGGCCCCTAATTTTAAATGATGCAGAAGCAATTCCGAGGTTTAAACAGCTGTCGGCTAAGTGCAGCAGGAAATTAGGGTTACCCTTTCATCGGGGTCTTGCATCTGGTATAACGCTTTCCCCAACCCTTTTCCTCTGCCTTCTTTCACTTTGCGTTCAAATCCACTCCATCGCGACTAGTTGTTTCATTCAGTTTTTTCTTTTCCTACGAATATACATCGGAACGTTTCGTCACAGGTCGAGTTTCATGGTACGCGAAATCCTGCAACTGGGTCGGTTAGTAATTCGTAAAATGAACCAAAGGAACATTTGTGTTTTTGATTCCCGGTGAGATCAATTTTGCTGGCGAAACTCTAGTCGCCGCGGAGCTATGCAAGCGACATACTTCAAATTCGTCGGTGAAATTGCTCAACCCGAGTGCTCCACTGGATTTCGACTTTAATCAATCAAAATTACCCGCTGACGAGTTTCATCTACTAAACCGAGAAACTTTAACGCGAATGCGGTGTATTTTGTACCCGCTTACGATTATATTTTCATATTTATTTTAGCGATAATACCGCAGAATTCACAACTTCATTTTTCTTCGCAATTCTGCTGAATTCATACAAAAATTTGAACTCTCCCTCCGTTAAAAAATTCTGTCGAATGCGAAGAAAGTCTGGCTGTTTTTTCAACCCTTTGCGCTTCTTTAGATCCATCAAAGTACATATACAGTCAAAGAAAGAAAAATACGGTTCCGAATAAAAAAGAAAGAACGCGTTACACGCTACGGTTTATATTCTCGTGGTACACGAGATCCTATAGAGTGAACTCCTTTTGGATTGTATTTTCCGCGACGGTATACGTTTTATATCAATAACCATATATTAACTCTTTTTCCAGTCGATTGTATCGAATTTCGGACATTCGAATATCGTATGTATGCGAATATTGCGTTCCATCGCTCTTGGAGAAAATTAAATATCTTCTCGAAAATCGTTCAAGAATTCCATGAAGCATCCGAACATTGGTAAAAAGTAATTTTAATTAGTTTTCCAAACTTTGAGAACTTTACGGAAAAGGAACAAAGAGTTTACGGTGTTAACCAAGTACAATTTTGATTCGCCTCTGGCAATTCGCATTTCACTTTGCGAGAAGTTTTCTGTTAAGAGCGGTGCTTCAAGTAAAAACTTTAATCGCCTTTTATTAGGATTGTTCGACTCGACGGTACCCATTTCTCAAAACTACTTTCAGACTTCAATGTTCGAACTTCATTTCCAACTCGTTCAAAGTCTTGTTTTCTTTTTTTTTTTTTTCACGATTTGAGGGAAAGTCGGTTCATATCCGTGGCTTTGTTCGCGGATTATACGAAAAAGTTGGTGCTCGTCGAAACGAATAATAGACTCCTGTCGTGCTTGTTATAATCTCGCCGCTTGTCTTCAGTCTTAATTCGTTCGAGGTGTAAACTCTTTGCAAAAATTCTTCCGTCGTAACCGAACGAAACGTGTACTTTGAAACAGTAGTTTCGTAACAGCAATGTTTTCGTACAGAGAATTCTATAGAAACCCCAGAGCGTTTACCCGGCACAATTCCTCAATATCCATGAACAACGATGAAGCAATTCCTTGATTGCGATCCATATCGAACGGGCCAGAAGTCGTTTGATTGGTACGTTTGTTCGTAACAACGTCGAAATCGGATATAAACGGATCGGTTGATATGGAAACGAACTAACCGAGGAGTTCCGTTCTCCCTAACCCAGAATTTCGAGTTGAACGTGGTAGACTGGTCGACTGGTCCACGCGATAGGATGCACGGTATTGAATGCATGCAAATACGACTACTACATGTATCGATAACGTACGAACCGCTAATGAAAGATGAATGGATGATTGAATTTTTGAACATACGAAGGAAAGCGTAGTACGTACCTTCCTCGTCCAAGAGGATATTGTCGGGCTTTATGTCCCGGTGAACGATTTTGTGACTCTGCAGATAATCAAGGGCCAACGCGATTTCTGCGACGAAAAGTACGACGCTCTCCTCCGTGAAGACGACCTCCTGTTGTATGTGATACCTCAAATCACCTCCGAGGAGCAAATCGGAAACCATGAACAAATCTTCTTCGTCTGAAACAAAAATATCTCTCTCGAGGAAACCTTGATTTCCCGATGTACTCGTACATATTGCTTAAATTCGAATCGTATAAGGAACCGTACGAATAACTGTTTAGAAAGCGTCGTATTTTTAGTTTCTCTCTTCCTTCGGCGATATCGTTGGTCGACTGATTTTAACGTCCTTAAGGATCGCCATTGGCTAATCGATAACAATAACGACCACGCCGACGGCGACGTTGGAAGAGCTTTAATCCGATCGATCCCTATTCGATTCGAAGAATTCGAACGCGCACGTATGTACGGATACGTAGACGAACAATCGGCTTACCTTGAAAGCTAAACCACAGATTGACTAAGCAGGGATGTTCGAGTTGAGAGAGGATTTCCACTTCTCGCGCGACGTTCTTTAGCGCACCCCTTTCGGCGCACTCTCCCTTGTGAACGTACTTCATCGCGTACATGTTTCCAGTGCGATCACGTTTCTGAACTATGCACACCTATTAAGAAATAATTAATTGTTCGTTACCAGACAAGGGACAAATAATGAGCAGCTGTTGCCTGCAGAGATAATTAGCCATTGTTCGGAGATAAAACGGGCGCATGGGCGCTGAATGTTTGCGAAGATGATACAGTATAGCGCAACTACGGACTATGACATTTTCAGATTCGAATATGACTCCGTAACTATTGCAGGTGTATCTGGGACGAACCGGAACGAAACGAAACGAGACGATGAATAATTTATAGCAAATATTCAACCGGTAGAGATAGTTTTGTATACGCGCATCTGAAAAATATTCAGTCATTTTCCTCGAAAATAAAATCCATCGTATAAACTATTTTATATTCTATATTTTCGATCGTCCTCTCGCAAATCATTACCATATTAATTTTCCGGATACAAATTTGGATTGTTAATAGATAGGGGATGAATTATGTAAGAGTATATATAATATACTGTGTAATCAGTAGGAATAGCTGTTCGATGCATGCGACAGAATATTTAAATACATATTTAGCTTATTAGCGTGTAGCGGATGATTTACGAAACTAATCGTAAGCTTAATGCAGGAATGTGCCGCGAGGTAATTATTTCGCTCCAAAGTTTGCAATTTTAAAAAATCTCGAAATAAAAAGTTCGTAAACCGATATATTAGGGGCGAAGTACGAAAGTGGAAAAAATTTGTTGTCAGTTCTATAAATTAAATAAATTAAATTAAATTAACCAGATCAAATTAATTACGCGACGATTCGCGAGGCACCGAAGCTTCTAAATTAAACATACGCAATTTAACGATAATCAACTTTCCGTTAGCCTTCTATTTGCATACCGCATTATATACACGAATTAAATATTATCAATTAATATTGGTTCGATAACTTGTCCGATTATCGCTTTGATATTATCCGAACGATTACATTACTTGCAAACTCGCAGATTATATTGCCAAGGTATTATTACAATATATGCGTCAAATTTCAAGAGCACTCGAGCGTAAAAAGCATATGGGGAGTTTAATTAAAGGTGCAACGTCGAGAAGTGAACTCCATACCTTGCCAAAGCTTCCTTTTCCAATGGCGCGAAGGATTTGAAAGTGATCGAAGTTTACTGGAACGAGAAACAATGGAGAGAGTTAATGAAATACTTTTCTACTAAACGAAGAGTCGAGCTTTCATGAATTCGCTATTGTATAAGAGCATGTAACAGCGATTCATAATTAATCCAAATCGAATTGAGATGGATACGTAGCGCAACTACGTTAGTGTTGCGAAATCTGCTCGGCAAAGATCGATCTAGCGTTTCCGAAATTTCGTTCAATTTTTTATTTTCTGAGGGCGAAAATAGTCGGACGTTTTTAGGACAGGCGGAGATCGAGCGCGATTGTTTCCTACAAAGGAGTAATTAACGGAAAACTTGAACTCCCCCGTGCACGAACTCGCTGGTTAGGCAAACTAAGGGAAACCACAACTGACAAAGTTTGTCGTCGCCGATGTTGCGGAAACCTGCTTCTAAAATCGTTTCGTCGTATCCCGTCCTGTCGTATCCCGTCCTGTCGCGTAACGTTCTCCGACTAAATTTTGGTAGACGCGTTGCCGAAATCACGACAAGTTCCGTGTTTCGGAAGCACATGTTTGTGACTGATTTCTCATCTCGATCCCGAACACAATTCAATAGCTTTCAATGAAAATTACTTGCTCTAGGTTGCGTTTATTGCAAACGGCAATTGAAGATATTCGAATAGAATAAAAAACTTGTTTACCAATCATACTCTATCAACGGGAATTTTTCACCGCGAATCCATGTACGAATGCGGAAGTAGGTATAAGTATATTTTGTATAGGAGTTTAAGTATCGCCGTTACGTGAAGGTTGAGTCAAGTTTCTTAGAAGTCGGACAACCTTTCGCATTTATTCGGTGATGCGCGAAGATGAAGTCATCGAGCACGATCGTTTCCTACGTCGGTTGAAATAGTCGCGGCATTTACCTTGAAAATTTATGCGTCGTTGGCAGAAAGCAAGTGTACCGCGTCCACTCACCTTCTTCTCCAGGGGATGGGGCGTTTCGCGTCGACTGGTTGGCACCCATTTTTGCCCCTCACTGGATCTTGATACGTGACACGAGAGGTGGTGGTCGATGTAACGCGAAGCCGAGTACTTTTGTCGAGCTGGGGAAAGACAGCCACTCGGAAATCTCATGCTTCCACCTCCTCGTGGCTCGGTTATTCATCGAATCGACCCTTTTCCCACCGACGCCAACGACTTTGCCCTTGTTCGCCTCGTTTCGTGCTCGAGTCACTTAATCTTATTTCTTTTCCTTATTCCTGCTCCGCAATTGCGGCTGTCATTAGATCTCTATCCGTAGGTTACTTCTCCGGTTAGGATTTCGCGAACCGCCTCGTTCCGTCCCCTCAATTTTCTTCCGCCCTTTCCCCGAAACTATTTTCTTTTCTATCCATTTCTACTCGTACCTCGCGATCGCCGTTGTACTTATTTTATTCTTGCCTGTTCTCTGGGTCCTTAGGCTACTTTTTCTCGATGCCATCGAGTTCTGACATTTCGCGGGAGCTCGTCAGTCGTAAGTCTCTTAAAGTGTTCGAGCTTTCCTTTGCTTTTGCGCTTTTTCTACTTTGCTTTGATCTTTAAGTTATCTATCTTGGTCTGCCGGCAACATCGTAAATCGCTTTTTTCTTCGATGTCCTCGAACTTTTATTTCTCGCTCAAGTTTGTCACTTTGCAGCTTGTCATTTACTAATATTTTTTCCCTGTTTTTCCGCGGTGAACGTCTCCTTTTTCCTCATCGAGTTTCGTCTTCCGGTGGGGAAGTCTGTAGTAGGTCGAACATCGGAAACGAGAAATCTCCGAGAAACAGGCCTTCGTTCGTTCGTTCGTTCGTTCGTTCGTTCGTTGGTCGATCGATCTCACCGGATCCAGCTGGCGGATTAATTACTGCAACGTCGATTCGCGGATTAATTAATACCAACTTGGTGCTGATTAGTGGAACAATGCGGTCGAAGAGACTGTTCGAAATTAACTAATCGGCTAATCGATTATCGAAGAAGATTCGCGAAGCGGAAATCGCGACATCGTCGAAAGAAAATGTCTCGCTGTTCTGGACCGTTGGGACTGTTGCGAACCAAATTCATCGTATCGCTAAATACAGGGTGAATTATAAATATTTATATAATAGAACGGTAATTAAAAAGTAAGGGATGCTTAGCATCAGTATTCCTGTAAATTGCAAATTATGAATGCCTAGATTTCGCTTCGTAAGCTCGTGCAAATATTTGTACACGGGAATATGTACACGTTGCTTCCTTTCTGAAAGCTAAGTAGCTTGAATGCATGCCTTGAAAAAGTCTCATTAAGTAACGCTAATTTCCTCGCGAAATTACGTTGCAAAGAACTTGAACGCGAATTCCACAAATTTCACGGATGAAAGACTCCCAGCGTTTCAGCAAATAAACTCGCTCGTATTTTACACGAACAACGGGGGACCCGTTGTTTTTTTTTAATCTCGTTTGAGGAATAACAAAAGGCTTCATAAACCTGTTTGTTTAATGCGTATATCGACGAGAGTACGGGGATGAAAAATCGGTCTTGGAAAACTCGCGAGACGTACGTTTCTCGCGTCCTCGGCTAACGTTTCTCCCGAAGCGACAATAGCGTGTATTATCAACGTAACCAAAGACGTGGGTGAACCAACGCCAATGAAAACTTTCGTATCGTATGGCGTTCAAAGTAAAGTTTCAAGCTACACCATAAAATATACGTTGCCATCTTTCGTACTCCGTTCACGTTCTCTGTCTCTTCCGCTTCCAAAGTAACGCTGGGTACTGCGCAAGCAGAAGATATGTATATCTTTTACTTTTACTTTTGGCCAAAACGCGGCTGAATGATGAGCGTTAATCTTTTTTTATCAATTTTTCCTGAAATTCAGCAGATTTATTTATCGAGCTTTTGATTCGTTATCCAAAGAATAAAAATACTATACCAATTGTTTAACCTTTGCTTGCGTGTTGGTCGGATATCTCATCTACCCTCCATTCTCAGTACTCTATTTAATTGGTTTCACGACGCGAAGCTTGTAACAAAACGTTAAGAATGCGAAAATTTACGTTTCGTCTAGAATTTAGATAGCGTAGCGCTACCACGGTAGTCTCTTTGGTAAGGCGATCCAGAACAACTTGTCTTACAATTAGTCGCCGTTATATTTAGATCTGCTTGGATCGTCTTACGAAATTCTTGTACGAAAGTTTTGGAGGCACAATCGTATCCTTGATATAAATCGTTTCCAAGTTTCAGACGTGGCGCCGTGTTGGACGAACAGAGGATCGTGATTAACGTTCAAACAATTATTTTCCACGTGTCACCATGTTGTACGAATATAACGAAAGAAAAGAAAAAATTATGCTGTGAAACGAGCCGAGTCGAGCGATTAAGATAAAGATGACTTTATCGCGAACCATCGTATGCAACGTAAGACCTATTCCCGTGTACGTCGATTAAAGTTGTCCGAGTGTTCCATGCGTTCCAGTAGTTTATAGTCGGAGGTAAGAAAAACTCGGGTCGTCGAACCGAGTCAAGTAAGTACTCGGTCGTTCGATCGACGGTAGCTTTTAACGTCCGAATGTTCGACTTGTTTTTATATTTCAGCCAGGTAAATCGGATGATTTTTCTCGAATATTCCAACACCTCTAACGTTGGCAGATTTATTCGCTACCAAGATGTAAAAAACGCTAGAAAAGGCCAGGAACCATGCACGAAACTAATACGATAGATTGCATTTGCACCGTGTATATCTCTTCCATCGATTACAGCAACGAATCCACGGTTCACCGCTATTACCTACTTCTCACCGAGTGTTTCGAATACTTTAATCGTCAAATGTGGTTGATCGTTTGTGCGTGGAAACGGTATCGATCGAGTTCAAACGATTCACTTTCACCCTTGTGCATGTAGCCGGCACGCTCGATCGCGTTCTTTGCAAAGAGAAGAGTGGCGGAACCGGAAAGAGAAGCAATGTCAACAACGGTGACGCGCACAAGAGGATCTCCACGGTCCATTCAGGGTATCACCGACGAAAAACGAACGACGAAGTACGTACGCGTTGGCACGCGAGTCTGTGTATCGTTCAAACGCGGCCAGCATGCCACGACGACGTGGAAATTAAATCAAAGAAAATGGATCGTCGCGTCGATTCGCGCGCGAAAATCGCGAATGTTTGTGCTGCCGCGATCACGGTTGCCGCACGAGTGTCGATGTTCCACGGTTCAACGAAACGACGCTCGTGCTCGAGTACGTGGATCTACGCCGGCGTCTGCGCCGAGACGCCTACAACGGTGGCTGCGTTTAACGACGCAACATTACGCGTCTTCGCGGCAATCCTTACTTTTTCTTCTCGGATTTCTGTCCTCTCACCCGTGAAAATAACCTCGATTACCGTTAACATGTACATCACGAGGAAGTAGTTATCGGACGATATAGATCAATATTATTTCCTAATATTAGATCCCAGTGACGAATGCGAGTCCAACTGAATACGATTTAAAAGAGATCGACAATTCATTTCATTCGTATCCTTTTATCGATGTCAGTCGATACGATACAAATAGTTACAAGTGACGCGAGAAGGTCACCGTAAATCCAAATTTTCGTTTTCAAGTTCGCGCAGAGTTTGACGAGATGAGATATAATTAGAGAGGGCACGCGAAGGGTTCATCGTCCTCGACGTTACGGACGGTAACCCTTTGGACGACGAGCAGGTGAGAGTCGCGATCGATTCTTGATTCTAATTCCAGGTATTCGCGACTCGTTGGCCTTATACAAAAAAACGACGACGATCGACAAACTCGTAAGATTCCTCGGAATAACTAGCCCGGGTTTGCGTCAGTCGGCTCGGTACGAACCAACATTGATCTTTTAAAAGCGACACGCTTACAATGGCAACGATACAACGATAGAATGAAAGAACGTTGCAAAGGCCATGCGAACCTCGAGGAGGTGACGCGGGAAAATAAGGTTGTCATTCGCGATGCTAACAATGCTTTATTCTCGCTAACTTGTATTAGCATTGTACATCGTCGCGTTGACTTTCACCGAGTTCGAAAAGTGACAAAGTTAGCTGATGGCAGTAAATAAACAAAGGAGTCCGGCAACAAAGTTCTGTATTGTTGTTGCAGCTGCCGTCATCGTTTCCTTTTATGCGCACACGCACTAGACGCGTCCTGTACACGAGCCAATCGTGTCCGCGTTTTTCATCCGCCCACGTTCACCTACGTCCCACCACCGCCGTCTCGTTGTTATTTCTCCTTTCATTTTGCTCCCTGGCGTGGTGTTTTCGCGCGAAGAAACGACTTTTCCTCTTCGTCGTCGTTACAAAGCTGTCTAGAAATTTCACCCTTTGGTTTTGCGCCTCTGTGCGCGCGCTCCGGAAACTCGTTGTTCAGACGATTGACCCGCCGTTAATTCATTCTCCTTTAAGGTTTCGTTTCAATTAGAGACATTTCGTTCGACGTAGGTATCATGCGAGTACGAGTTCGCTCTCTTAATTTCGTTTTTTGTGACTGTTTTTTTTTTTTTTTTTTTTTATGGAGCTATCGTTTCCAAACTTTACGTCGCGCTCCGACAACTTTGCGCGCGTTCCAAGGAAGCGTTTCCGCGTAGAAACGCTGCTTTTTCAAGGGTTAAATCCACTCCGCATAGTAGATTTTGAGTACGTCATCGATTTGCGAGGCAATCCGGTTGCATGGCCAAAATTTATGGTAATCGAAGTTACGGTAATTCAACGAGGTCATGGAGTTTGGAGTCCTGCTGGCCCCTCGATAACGCCGACTCGAATAAATCCAAGGATAGATTAGTTAACGGAACTTGCGAGATCTATAGATATAGATTCCTTAGGTAACCAGGATGCGTTGTAATACGAATTGTTCGCCTCAAATTGGAGATTGTCGAATATAAAGATTCCGAAGGAAAGTTTGTATACACGAACTTGGATTTTGTTTGGGGTAACAGCGAGCATTCCACGGAGATGTCGATACGATAATATTTGCAATACCGTTTCGGTGTTTGTCAACGACGACTAGTGACTCGTGACTCTCGTGACTCGTCTCGCGAAACGAATCCGATCAATCGAGAAAACCGAACGATGGTCGGGGTTCGACTCGTAAACTGGGGGAACGCAAAGGCGGTCGCGAGTCGTCCGAGGATCGATAACGCCTTCGCCGCGCTACCGGACATACACGGAACGAGCACGTACCGCGTTGACCAAAGCGAAGAGCCGCGCGTTCCTGTTTGGAATCGACTATCGAGCCTCGCCACCCTAACTATCTATCAGCCGAGAACGGAGGGAGAGACACGGCTGGGACAACAAGTCGAACGCGTGAGAACCACTGTCCTCTACCTGGCTGTTTAATAGGAGAACGGAAAGCACGGAATGCCCTCGTAAAGGTGAGCGAGAGGGACGGCGCAATTGAAGGGGATAAAGGAGAACAACGACAGCGGGCAGCGTTCAAAGAAGGACACCCGATATAAGAGGCATTGTACTCGGTTATACCGCCAGCCGTTCCAGGTGCTGGAGAGCAGTCGACTCTCGCCATGGGACGGGCATATACGCCAAGCTTGTCTGCGTTTCCTCCTCTTGGTCTGTCGCCAACGTTCGTTCGAACGCGTTTAAATGTAAACCATTGGTGCGCGCCTTCTGGCATTTCTGCTCGATCGCCGTTGACTCGGTGTCGTCTACATCGGAACACCCGGCGTAAACGCTAAGTGGGAGATCCAGAACGAGCGAGCAAACGAACGAGCGAGCGAGCGAGCGAGCGAGCGTGAAAGAAAGAAAGAAAGAAAAAAGAAGAGGGACGCCTATCCTGTGTGTATCGTGTATCGCGTGCCGTTCTGCAGTGCGACATTCGACAACACACGCTCGGTCTCGGCTCGTCGTATTCCGAATTTCCCGTCCTATACGGCGCACACTGTTAACAAACTTTCGTATCGTCTCTTCTGTTGCACGATACACACATTGCTCGGCATAGTCGTCGCGCGCTCTCTTTGTTCTCTCGACTCCTTTGACCTCGGCCGACGAGCCGCGAACCGCGAAACGCGCCGTTCGCCAGTCGATCGACGCTCACGCTCGTCGATCGTTTAACTCTTCCGTCCTGTCCAAGATACGACAGGATCGAGCGACGACGAACTGTTTTTCCCCGTGCTCCGAAGACACTCCGAACTCGAGGTGTGCCATCGTCGACTCGTCTCGACAGCAGTTGCTGGGATATCAACGAGGAACTCGAGGAGAGGATCGCGTCGCGCGTGGATCGTCGATCGGTTCACCGTTTTCGAGAGAAAGGAAAGCGCGCTTGCTGCCGTTTGCCGCTCGATTTTAAACGACGCTCGTCGCGCTCGGAAAAGCTATCATCTCGCCGTCTTTGACCGTCGACGAGTGAATCAGTCATCGCGGCCCAAGTCTGCGGGAATAAAGCCGGTAGTAAAGCACGCTTCTAGCGTAGCGTCGACGAAGCGGGAGAACACGTCGACGGGGGATGCGTGTTGGCTGGTGAAACGCTCGGCCGATGTCTTCGGGACGACGATCGCGTCACAGACGGGACGCGAGACGGAGCCACGCGAATGCCGCACGCTACTGAATCTTCTTTTCCACCGGGCGAATTATTCTGGACCGGCATGAAGCCCGTGAAAACCAAGTAAGTAAACCGACTGCGAACATTTGGTCGGAGAATCAGCTCTTCGTTGGCCACGAGCCCATGAGTCACTCGAGCGTCGATAATTTATCCGTATGATATGTCTCACCGTCGACTATTTCATCCTATGTATAATTCGAATTTAAATGTTTAGTCGATCGCTAACGGATAACAATTTTCTCTATCCTTGTTTGATCGACTCGAAGACTTCCGGCAATTGTTTTCCAAACTTGTTACTCCTCGGCATATTCGCGCTCTCTGGTTTAAGTAAGGATGTAGACGGATAAGAGGATCGAATATTTCTCTAAATCAAATCCAACTCGCGACGAGTCACTCGATAGCTTAGACGAAAAGCATCGAGCTTCGAAAATCAAAAATCACGTTACGAACGATCTATTGTTTCAAGGCTTCTCCTTTCATCTCCAACGATTTCTCGTTTCTTTTGTCACCGATCCGAGCTCTCGTCGACTCGAATCCGGAAACCATTGAGGCTCCTCCGTAAGTCGCGCTTTCTCGCGGATATAAAAGGTCGAAGGGCGCCAACGCGAAAAGCACGAGCGAGAGCGATCCGTTATGCATAACGTCGCGAACCGTACTCTTTCAAGAGTTTGTGTACTTTCTTTAAGATCCGAACACGTTATATACCTACTTATCGCTTATGCGATCGTGTGGATTCATATTTTACAAGATAAGAATAGATTGAAACCGAGGAGACGATTTTACTCGACACTGGAAATTTAAGTCTGGCATCGAGCTACGCCAACGCTTGGGTCGATTAATTTAAAGGGCGTTCAACGCGAGAGATACTCTCCGTTTCTTGACTATCCTCGTAGAAATTAGACTAAAACGTTCGCCACGCGTTACTTTCCGAACAATCTTTCCTCCCGTAAATTGCGATTCGAGATCTCTCTTTTCCTCGATGCGGCGTCGCGTGGGTGTACTTGCACGGTTGATCGTGGACAAAATTTTATCGACTCGGGCCAAATGATCTTCAGTCGAGTACATCACTCGCAATCTAGTCTGGTAGAATCTTCGGAGTAAAGCCCGGAACTGTTCTCTTCTTCTTCTCATTATATCCTGTCAACGCTGCGCGTTAAATTAAAACTAAATGAAACGAAAGTAATTTAACAAGAATTACAGAGATAGAACGAATGAAAAATGTCTCCGGTGGTGAGCGAGCATCGTTAACTTTCTATTTTTGCCCTTACCTTTGTCACTACAATGAAACGAAATTCCCTCGATTAATCATTTCCTTTGTTTTCTCGTTCGGACATCTTTCGTCGTATTGCATAGTTGATCACTATTTTTGCAAGTTTTCGCGCGATGCATCAAAACTGGAATAACGTTACACGTTACGTCGCCATATTACGCGAATCGATGATGCATGGGGCCACGTAACACCGAGATCGTTGACGGCGTCCCAAGTTTCAGATGCACGTATCGTACAGCATCGCGTGAAAGTTTAGATATTGCCATCGTCGCGTCAAGACCATAAGTTCGATCGATTCGTCAATAATGGTCTGCATACGATCCAGAAATCGAGTTCGTTTCGTTTGATTTTTCTTTAACTTAATTCACCCTTTGATATCGATGTTCGTGCCTCTCGCGATACCCTTGAAGTTCATAGAAAAATTCGCGGAGAACGTATCCGCACTTGAAGAATTTCACCTTCCTGCGCGTCAGCGTTTATCTTTCCTCGCGATCAAACAAAGTTCCCTTTCGAATCGCAGTGGGATCTCTTATGCCCATTAGATCGTTATTATACATATACTGCGATGCACTCAGATATGCATCCAGATTTTTAGGCGGTCGCGGTATGCATTACCATGAATGCATTAATAAACATTTATTAAATTCGGAGATGTACCTGTTTAATGCATTCCGAAGTTTCGGATTACTATACAAATGTTTTTCGAGAAAGTACAGGTATATTACTGTTTCAACGAAACATTCTATTTGAATGTTGGGTAATATTTTCGTAGATGAAAGGTAAAAGAAAAGTAAAATAAAGGTAGTTTGTGAATTTTTCGTTTCGTTCACTGTTTTTCGTACACCATGTGTTATATTACTTTGTGATTTGTATTCACCAGAAGTGCTTTTACGTTTGCAGAATGGCCCCCACAGGGATGCCCTCGGTCACCGGTGTCCTGCAACCACCCGCGGGTTCGACGCTGACAGGGTCCACGATGTCGAACCACAAGAAAAGTTGGTGGAGGAGAGTGGCTCCCTGCCTGGCCTTTCTTGCGGCTTTTTCTACCGCCATGGCCTTGCTTCTTGTTTGGAGCGAGGCTGCTGCCTTGAGGTAAGTTTCTCTGCTTTGCAACCAAAGGGAAGAGAAGAATAGGGGTTAAAGCGTAGGAAAAAAGGCACCTCTGATCGCCGCGCCGCGTTGATTTTCTTGTTAGCAGCGCTACTGTAAATTGCGGGAAGAAAGCTATTTCTTAGGCAGTTTAGACGTGGAAATGGTGGAATAGCTTTTCACCGAGTGCGTTACGTGTGTACATGTGAAACTTGATAAGACAGAAGCTGTCGTGGTTGCGTTAAAGCTGATGTTAAAGCTGATGTCCCGATTGCAGGAGGCAAGCGTTCGACGCTAATATGACCAGGGACTACGTGTTGAACAGCGTCTCGATGGACAATCCCGAATTGGTCGCGTACATTAGGGAGGTCCAATTGAAACCCACCACTCAACAAGATCCGTTGAACGCGACCCAGACCTCGGAAGAGAGATACGTGTCGAGCCTGACGGAAGGAAAACGCGAGGGTGTCTACGTAGAATACATTAGCAGGGTAAGGAGCGATCTTTCGTCCCGTCCAATTACGTACAGGCGCGCCGAGAGTTCTCCGTTAATTCGTTCTAACCCGATTTGCTCTCGGTCCCCTTTGAACGTTACAGTCGCGAAATTTTCGCGTTGCTCGAAGAATGTTAAAACTGTTGTCTCTCGCAGATAGGCGCCGTTTCTAGCACGGGCTGGTTAGAGCGTAATTCGAGCTGGAGAGGCGTATTGATACTGACCGATCCCAGAAGCTTCTTCGAAGCTCACAGGAGCACCAGGAATCCAAAAACTAAAGTACTCCATGCTTGCCTTAGCACCGATAAGGATACCAAAGAGGCGAGTATATCGTAACACGAATGCGTTACACATACAACGAAGAAGCTAAAATATCTCGATTATCGATAGACGAAGCTCAACGCGTGGCGCGCGTGTTCCAATTTCAGATTACTTATCATCAGGAATCCGAGGTTCAAGTTACCAAATTAGGGGAGGGTCCGAATAGTCTCGTCTCGTCGGACGACGGTCTGCCGACTACACGATTGAAGTGTTTCCCCTTGTACAGTGTTTTGTTGGCTTATGGCACCACAACGTTGGATTACTTGAGTCTGGACAGTCCGGATGCCCAAGACGGACAGGTGATTATTCATTTTATCCAACGCTTTGCATTCAATTTTTCTGTATTTAGTAGTTGGAAAAGTACCCGACTATATTTCACGCAGGTGCTCGACACGATTCCGTGGGAAACGACGAGAATATCCGTCCTATCCATTCGGTGGAGCTCTCACCACAGCGAGATGGAGACGAAAGGTCTGATCGACAAGATGGCCAGCAGAAGATACAAGCTGATGTATACGACGGACACCGGGAAATTGATCTTTTTATATAACGCGTTGCTAAAGATTTGAACGTTGACACGAGATACTTTCGATACTGAACTGTTCTACGTTCCCCGCGGTTTTCAGCGAATCGGAACATACCGCGATGAGAAATAGTTTTTCGTCGAGCAAATTAAAGCGAGTTCGTCGGGTCGTCCATTCAACGAAACACGATCGCGACACCCGCGACCATGTTTTCGTCGTCGGATGTACACGGACACCGTCGAACGTGGCTTTAATTTCCCGTAGAAACATGTTTCTTTTTCGCGTGTGCGCGTGATCGCAGAACTGGTCATGTTTTTCGTAAATCAAGACATGTTTCGTTTCGTTTCGTTTCGTTTCGTTTCACAATTGTACGGCTAGTCGAAACGTCATCGACGATCTAGAAATACGAAATAATTTCATCTTCTTTTAATTCGCTATCGATTTAACAGGCACACGACAAAGACTGAGAGTTATTTTTCAGAGCGTTCGCTCGATCATATTTAACGATAGGCACTCGTACTTGGGAGTCCTTCGCGGCGACTTTTCGCGCCGATGCGTACCGAAAGATCGATTATCGATCTCCTTCCTTGCGCGCGTCTTGCGGAAGTGAACAAAAAACAGAAAGAGAGAAGACGAAAAAAGCGTATTTAGTTTCGCGTTCGTATTTTAACGTAGGTTCGTTTTAATTTAAATGGTTAAGCCAATGTAGACTAACGCATCGAGACTTTTTTTTTTTTTACCAATGATGTTAACTTTTATTTGTCAAAGAACGATAGCCTCGCGGTACGGAGTACCATCTAATAAAATGATTCCATACGTGAACAAGGCGAGCGCTGTCGCAGTGATAATCGACGAGTTACTCTGATTACCTATAGCAACGGGCCTTACTAGCACGTAAGTCGATACTTGGCTAAGATATTATATAATACCGTGAATCCGGTTTACTTTCTTCGTTAAGGCACGTTCTCGCGTGTATTCGCTCAAAGATTTTTTTAAACCCAAGTTAACCACCGTAAAATAATAATAGAGATACGCTACGAATAGACGCGGTGCCGCCCGATTGTGCCGTATCGTTGTAACTCGCATACGCAGGAACGTGTCTTTACAAGGATTCGGTCCATCCATCCTTGATTACGATGATATATGCGTTTTGTTTGTCGTATCTTGTCCCATCATTTTCTCTTGTTTTAGTTCAGGTGACGGTGATCTGGTTCAAAGTTTCGCGATTCCAGTCACATCTACTTCCCCCCGAATTCAAAACAAGTCCAACGATGGTACTTTCATTTATTACTCGTTGACGACAATCTTTGGTACTCTTTGTTCAACGGTTGGCTTACCTATACCATTTGTGGGCGGTCCGTCCGGTGTCACCTTCGTTTCTTCGTTCTGGCGTTACGATTATCGTTGATTCCGATTCGAATTAAGCGATGCTTAATTACTCTCTCTCCGCGATGAAATTTGCACAGGGAAGATCGCGACCGTGTTGACGAGTGCACGGTCAGAGGTTCGTCGACCACCGACCTTCGATCGTTCCATTTAAACGGTACGTGTCCTATTCTTCTTTTCTTATACCCTGGCGTTGCGTGAAATATTTGTACGACTCATTTGGAGAGAGTCGAACGAATTCTTTTGGAGAATAAACAATAAATAATATTTTGGATGAACCGTTTCTTGTGCATTGCGTTTTGTGTTCTAGACGTGTTAACGACTCACGACTTTCCTTTGCTCCTTCGCTACTTCCCGTTTTTCTCCGTGGTTCCATCGTGTCGTTCTACGCAAGTTCAACGTACCGTGTAGTTAAAGCTTGGATTAAAAAGGTTTTGTAATCGTAAGAAAGTAAACCGCGATACGTCCTTCAATGTTTTCCTTTGCTATAGTTCTTTTATTTTCGACAAGAGTGGCGGTACGTACCGTCGAAATTAGGTCACTTCCTCTTTATAAACGATGCTTCTGAAATGTTGAAACCACTGAAAAGGGAAGAAAAGCGAGCTCGGCTCCTAAACCCTAAAACGTTTGATGCACTGATTCGGTTCGCATCCCTTTCACGTTATAACTTTGAAAGCGAGTATTTTTCTTCGTAATTTCATCCTTTTTTCACTTCTTTCAACGAAAGAAGAAAGGACAGGCTTTGAGAAAAGACTCTCTTTTCTCGTTCGGGTAATCCGACATAGAATATCTGTCCATTAGTCGGGGCAGCTAGAGAAAATTGTACGATTTCGATTAGCATTTTCCGCGTTTTCGTGATTTTGTTCGACTTTTCGTTAGCTCCTTGCAGAATGCGAAGATAAACTATATTTTTATAAATAAAAATTCATTTAAATAACGTCTAATTTTAGTGGCTGATTTAGAAAATAATCGACGCCGAATATTCAAGGTGAGTCAGCGTCGAAGCGGTGAAATCGAGTTATGGTGGAAGTCGCTCGAAGAAAATCGTCGACAGAGTCGCGAGGATTGAACGATTCCCAGGAACTTTGATCGTTGTAGAGCTCGCAGAAACGGAATTTCCAATTTCTGGTCTAATTGAAGGCAGAAACGAGACGCTCGAACTTACCTACGATGCAATTCCCGTGCGTGTGTTGCGCTCGCTGCGCGATTAGGTAACATCGTTAGGGAGGATCTAATCTTTAGAGGAAATTTGTCGTGTCGCCGATAATGCTTCGCGGTTTCTCCTGATGCAACCTTGCTTTCCATCGTTCGAGCTGCGCTTTTTTCGTTCGCTTTGTTAAGGAGATAAAGACTGCAATGTCGCGCGCTAACCATTATCGCCAAGGATCGAACACGATTGGTACTGATTTATCGATACCGTTTCACTTTCATTACCGTTTCAACTAAACGCTAAGTCGAATAAGGTACGTGCCGTTGTCAACAGCGTGATTTATCGTCGCCACTTGATACAATCTTTGCATCCGTTCGATTTTATGATTCCGCAATAAACCAAATGCTTTTGCAAACGAAGAAGCTAAATCCCAATCATTGATAACAAACAATCTAGATTTTATAGCCTGTGCGTTGGTCGATCAACAAAAGTAACTGGTTTCTATCAAGATTTAATAAATTAACGATGTCTGTCATCCAAGATCCTCGATCTTCCATCGAGAGTTCTATACTTACGCTTCGCTAATATCATAAATATCGTGTTTACATTCTCGTTATGCAATATATACTCGAAACAAAAATTGTATAAATTTTGTTCTCGAATCTCGTTGAAATTTTCGGACACTCGAGGATCCCGCCACGAACTCGAGGTCTCTTCGATCGATCGGCGCAATTGATCGGGGCCGATGGTTACTCGAAAATTTGATAGGAAGATAACGTCGATTTGGGTGGCGGGGCTTTAAAAGGATTATCCGTTGAAGAGGAACACTCGAACGTGAAGCGCCCATCGCCTATTCACGATGCTTGAACGAAGCATGTAGCATATGGACAACGTAAATAGAACAACGTTAATAGCCGCGTTAATACATAAACGCGGCAAATCGGTTGTTTCGCGTGCAATAGACGGAAATGTTTGCATGGCATGACGATTAAATCGTCTTTAAGAGCTAACGCTAAACGAGTTCGATTCGTTACACGGAAACAAGAATTTCGATTTTTGCAGATCGAGGAAGGACACATGGAAGTCGCGAAGCGTAAACATGTTGGCGCAGTGCAATCGATCATCAAGAAGCCTCAAACGTTATCAACAGAAATAGAAAAAAAGAACCAGTAGAGTGGTACGGTACAGTAGATCGCGAACACAGCGAAAGTAGATCGAAAACAGATTACCAATCTACCTGCCTCGATCTGTCTCCGCTATGTTCGCCGTTTTTTTTTTTTTTTCATTTACAAAACGATCTTGCAAGTTAATTCAACAACCGCAAAACGAAAGGACGGAACGATCTATTGTATCTTTGATGGCGTTAGGCACGTACTGTGACATTCGAAGACATGAAATTCGCGAAATGCGATAGAAGCTGACAATGAGACAACATTCCAAACGGGCGGCAATACATTCCGTTGATAGATTTCAGTGGTAAATAGATACCCGTTAATCGTGATTTCTGAACTTTTTCCTTTGATTGTGAGCGATAATAGCTTTGAGTGGAGATAATGATGGGCAGATAGCGGCGCCCGTGATATATGATGGCCCTCGATGTAATCACGTCCATTCGATTTTCTTCGACCGGTTTCGCTTATTCCGAAATGTTGTTCGTTTGATTCGTGATCCGCGTTGCATAAGAGACAAAACGTGTTCGAAGAAAGGTGACGAACTTACGAACTTTGCGATCGGTCGCGATTCGTTTCGACGATCGACGGAATCGTCGATTTCCCGGCAAACCGTCTCAATTTTCTCGCGATAGATTGTATCCTGCACGAGATATTCACCATTCCTCCAAAAGACGTTAATTTCAAGGAAATGGAGGCCACGGGGATGATTAACGGTGTGTCCGTTCACCAGAAGAGCAGGAAGCTGTGGCAGTATCTGGCTACTATTTCCGGTATTTAAGCGCATCCTCCGTACGCACGCGTCCTTTCGGTTTGGTAGCTTTTTCATCAGTCACCCTACCTTCGTACCGTCTGCCTCGGCGTCGGTGTTGATCTTGAAAACGTCGCGTCGCGCGAGTGACACAAGCTAGGAATCAAAATGCTGGTGGAACTTTTATTATCCGACTGAAGTCGATTTAGAATGTTAGCGGGTTAAGATTGGAAACTCGCAATTATTTGTCGCTTCGCGTTTTATAATATGAATCGAAAGGAACTCGTCAATGGTCCGAGTGTCTAGTTTGGTTACGATTAAGCCACTGTTCCGTTCCGTGTCTCGAAGATTTCCTTAACAAACTTTTAAATTTTTTACTTTTAAACTTTTAAATTGTACTTTTACTTTTAAATTTTAAACTTTTTCGTTAATCCCGTGAAATCGTCGGCGTCGTCGCGAAGTCGAGTAATCGGTGTGTTCTTCCGAATATTTCTACCGCATTTTTACCTTGCGCGTGTAGATTATCTTTCCTCACTTTTGATACGATCGTGCGTCTTCTTATTAACCTTTCGTGGCTATCTTCACGCGTACTCGTCCACCGTATTATCATTTAATTTCCTAATTGATTTAATGTGTTGTAGATATAAGTAATTTTCAAGTGATCGATATTATCGGAAGATAATCGAGTGCTTGTGTAACGTAGTACACCTTTGATTCCCACGGGGATTAAGTAACGGGTCGAGTGAAATTAAAAAATGGAATTAGAATAAGCTGCATAGGCCTGACAAGCACTATTTTTCGATTTAGCATGTCTACTGGTGGTCGGAGTTGGCACAGCTTTAGCGTGGACCTCACCGGTGCTTCCTCAACTGTACGAAAGGGATTCGTGGATGGTGGTAACCGAGGATCAGGGTTCCTGGGTGAGCTCTCTGTGCGCCCTTGGCGCTATCGCTGGTGCGTTGCCATCGGGGAAAATGGCGGACAGATTGGGCAGAAAAATGTCGCTTTTGCTGTTGGCGGGACCGTTCCTCGTCTCCTGGGGTCTTATTCTAGTTGCCAGCGAAGTATGGTTCCTGTACATCGCTAGATTTGTCGTTGGTACCAGCGTTGGGGCCGCCTGCGTCCTTGGACCGACGTACATCTCCGAGATCTCCGAAGTCTCTACCAGGGGAACACTAGGCGCCCTGTTTCAGCTATTTCTCACCGTCGGGATCTTCGTTACTTTCGTCCTGGGAAGCGAACTCACCTACTCCGCGCTCGCTATAGTTTGCGCACTCATCATAGTCGCCTTTTTGGCCACGTTTTATTGGATGCCCGAATCTCCTGTCTGGTTGGTGGTGCGTAATCGGAGATCCCAATCTCCGTAATTGTATAATATTTTCCCGTTGTGTATATCAGCTACAGTTGGTTCCCGTAGCGTCTCGATCTCTCGTTTGCGGGAAACAAACTAAAGTTGCTATTTAGATCGGTAGCAGCATCCCTTGTACGTCTACCCGAACGTTTCGGATTCTACGATATTTAACAAGCTTCTAGAATTCTCGGTCTAATTAGATAAAGTTGGATTAATGTTGTCAGGGTGAAAAACGGAAACAGGATGCCATAGCGGCGATGAAAGTGCTCAGAGGGGACGCTTACGATCCTGGGGAAGAACTGAACGAAATGCAAGCGGCGGTCGAGGCGAATGCCGGCAGGGAAGTCACCATCTCTGACATGATTAAGTCTCCGGTTCACAAAAAAGCTATGGTTGCGTCCTTTGGCATGATGTTCTTCCAACAGGCGTCCGGTGTGAACGCAGTTATTTTTTACTCCGTGATAATCTTCAAGGCGTCTGGAAGCACGATGCCGCCGGAACTCGCGTCCATCCTGGTCTCGCTGGTTCAGGTTCGTTTCCTTTTGTTAGATAATCGAACAAGCATCGAAAAAAAAAAAAAAATAGAAACATCGCGAAAGATTGTTTCCTTGGTTGCACTTAAAATTAGCTTTCGGTTCGATTGTTTGTCCTAAAAAAATAATGGTAATTTGAACGCTCTCCTTGAATGTTTCCGTTGCTGCACAGCAAATTAACGGGACGGCTCTACAAACGATGTTTACGCTGAATGTTATTCGTCGCAGTTGATAATGTCAGGTGTCGCGGCGCTGATTGTGGATCGAGCCGGAAGGAAGCCGCTGCTCATGATTTCTACAGGTGTTATGTCACTTAGCCT